TTACTTCGAGTTTTGATTGGTTCAATGTATTGTCTGTGTCCTATGTGATTGGCCAGAGTAATAACTTTGGTTTTAGTTTTACGACACTCAAACGAAAACCACTCTATTTCGCGTGGCGTCGAAATTGAAAGCAGTGTTCGCTTTACACTATGTCAAGTAGCCTATCATGCAAATCTATTACTGGCCAACCAAAATTGCTTAACATTCTGAATATTCTCTTTTTTTTTAATCCAATGATTAGTTTCACTGAATCTCTGTTACTGTTCATGACAACTGATTTATCTCTATAGAGAGTACGGACGATCTTTCTCAAATCACATCCGGTGGTTCAGACTTCATAGGCTTTTTGGCAAAAAGAAGGCTTAAAATAATATCGACCTCACCGGAGGCAATGCAAACAGATTTTTTGATTGCTCTGGTAACGAGGACTCAGAAAATCACTGATTGGTGCATGCGCAGTGACAGGATTATATCTGAGGTAGAGGCATTTTTCGTCCCCAGAGCCACTCGGCTTGCGACAGGCTGTGGGAACGTTTATGAGGTAGCGGAAATGCTCGGCTGGCTACTCTAATAATGGGAAAAGAAGAGTTATGACAGGCAAAATATTCGCCTAATCAAATTCGATAGTGCGAGCGTACTTCATATTCCCAGAGCATGGATGCACGCCGACCTCAACAAACTATACCTGGAGTTCTGGTAAGTTTAGCATTCCTCTCAAGTGCATTCTTAACTTTATACCACACGCGGAACCGTTGACCATGTGTTTTTTAACTTGCATTATATACTGGCTCGGACTCCCCATTTCGATCCTGCGGGAAAATTAATTGAGTCTTTTCGCCACTAATGCTTTATTCACCTTGCTTGTAAGTTTTAGATCATATCGTTCTACTCTTGGTCTTCCTTTTTTTTTGCTGTTATTGTTTTGTTTCCATTTTTTTTTTTTGTTCCTTGACCCCGCGCATGTAGGCGCTTAGATTGAGATAACTTTACCGTAAATCCTCTATTAAACCCCCCGGGGGGGCTTAATTATTTCAATCCCATTTGAGGGGGGGGGGGGCTTAATAGAGACGGGGGCTTATTTAATTTAAAGAAAGACGATGGTATAAGTTCTCCATAAAAAACCTAGAATACAAAGTGGAAACGCTCAAGTACAAGAAGTTGGAGGTCACGAAGCTGAGGATCAAAAACAAATCCAGTCCACACGAAGTTTTACAGTTGTGATTGATTAATACAGTCCACCATTTATTAGTGAAGAATATTTAGGGGACGGGAGGGGGGGTAATAGAGAGAGAGGCCTTATAAACTTTCTTCCCCTGAAAAGGGGGAGCTTATTAGAGGGAGGGGGCTTTTTTGAGCGGGGGGGGGGGCGGGGTTAAAGGAAGAGTTTTGGTGTTTGATTTCGTTCAACCCTCCCCTCAGACCTCAATGGTTACTCCTTCGTGGCCACAGAAAACCTTTGAAAATTATTTTTTTTCAAATTGAGCACAATAACCCTCTGTTTCTTTTAGTCCTATAAAAAATAGTAAAAGACAGGTTTAAAGAGTAGTTTTGTTGTTTTACAAAATGGAGTAGACGTTTTATTTTTGTTTATATTTTCTATTTAAACAGCCATGTCTTTGTAGACGGTAAAAGGGATCAAAAGGGGTAAAAAAGGGGGTGGAAAGTTTTTAAATTTTTTTTACAAATAAGCATAGAGGGGGGGCTCAGGACCCACCCCCCCCCCCCTTTCCTGGGACCGGCCGGCATTTGATATCAGCAGACAAAACCCGATTTTGAAAGCGAAAGTATGTGGGAACTTCCGCCACCGCAACAACACATCACTGAGCTCGATCAAAAACCAAGTATTTTTTTAAAAAAGAACTCGACTAAAAACGTCCGATTTCTTGACCAAATAATGTAAAAACGAACTAAACTACTGCATTCAGCAGGTTGAACAGTCCATATGCGCCAAATTTCAATGTAGACGTAGGTAAATTTCACTGCACATTCCATTACTCAAGGAAACGTTGGCTTGAGGTTGGTTCTTAACATGCATGGGCCTTAAAATCATGAACCTTACCTTGCACACCTGAAGAATCCAGTTTGTTGAATCTGGACGACTGTTCCATTGAAGTTAGGAAAGAAACATTTCGTTTGCAATTACTGCGTCAGACTCGCAACTGCTGTGTCACATTAAACAATGCAGTGGCGCAAACAATAGGAGGGGAAACACGATATATGCAAGAGAGGGTAAAGCCCCTTTATTCTCTCCTGCATATGTCATAGTGAATCTAGGTCAAGAGCCATTGAGTAATCAGGAAGTATCAATTGCCTTTTTTTCGGGAACAGTTCTTTAACGGACAAAAGAACGCATTTTCTTTTAAAGGGCGGTTAAACACGAGCAGGGATTGGAGAAGTGTTAGTCCGAGTTTATTGAAATGGTCCATACTATGTTGTGGTTCAGTTTACGGGAGCATTAGATAATACCTTGCCGTAGTGGCGGACTATGTGTTGTTTACTAATTATTCACTTCATATTGTAATTTTTAACAACCCCCAAATCCAATATTTTCCCTTTTTTCCAAAATTTTAAACGTCTCCCCCCAACCCCCCACCCCAACCCCCTACGTTTTATAGATGACAAACGTTCGAAAAATCAGCCAAAAATTCACAAATAATTATTGAATTAAGGACACTGTAAATTAATCGAGTCATTTTTTGATTGAATGAAATCTTGGCCAGTTATTTAAGAAAAAGAGAAGAAATTAACGAAAAATAATATTAATGCTTTTAACCATGCTGCCCCTTAATCCTTGGTTTAATTGTTTTTTGGGGGTTTCAAACTCCTAGTCATAACACTTAAACCAGGGATAAAATTGAATCACAACATATAGAGCGGTTTTCATTTGAGTGTCGAAAAGTAATTGGTTTTGCACTTTCTACACGATGCGATTGGCTTAAAAGATTCGCGCCACCTTTTTATCCAATCAGAAGCAAAACCAAAGCCAATTGTGACGCGCTCGCATGCATTTTCCCGCGCTTTGCGTCAGCCACATGTAATTACTTCGAGTTTTGATTGGTTCAATGTATTGTCTGTGTCCTATGTGATTGGCCAGAGTAAT